GGATTCTTGGACTGTCTCAGAAGCCTGGGCTTCAACGCTGAAGTGAGTTGTGAGGGCAGCAACAGCCTGTTTGCTGGCTGTGCAATTGCCCCGTTATGGCAGCCAGTTTCCCTCCTGTCTTTTAGTGTCTGTAGAAAGGAAGTAATCTGATTCATTAACTTCACAAGGGGCCTTCCCCGATAGCTCAGTTGGTAAAAGTCCACCTGCAATGCAGGAGACCCTAGTTCGATTCCTGGATCAGGAAGATCCCCTGGAGAAGGGACAGGCTGCCCACTCCAGTATTCTTGGGCTTCCCTGGTGGCTCAACTGGTAAAAAATCTGCCTGCGATGCAGGAGACCTGGGTTCGATCCCTGGGTTGGAAAGATCTCCTGGAGAAGGAAAAGGCTACCTATTCCAATATTCTGGCCTGAAGAATTCCATGTCCTGAATAGTCCATGGGGTCGCAAAGAGTCGGACACAACTGAGCGACTTTCATATTCAACAACATCTTCATAGTCAAGCTACCCTATGTTCACCAAAGGTAGAGAGGAATGGCACCCCTCTATGTTTTTGGAGAGAATTGCATCTATATGAGCAAGAAGCAAGAGTCTGTTTTGGAAAAACTGGACTGAGTTCTTTATGTCATCTGGGAAACTTCATACCAAGTAGATTAAGTGACTTTGAACTTGGAAATATCCACATCCTAACAGTTTATTGAGCTTTATTGGATTTGTAGAACATTTAAAGACCATCCAAACTCAACTGGGAGATCAAAATGAACAGGTTGATGCAGACCTCTCCCCTTCTGCCTTTTTGCAGCAGTACTGAAAGTGATGCCCTCATGCCTGTGGATGATGAACACAAAGACCTGGCTTTCTGGTGTGTTTTGCTGTGTCCTGATAACTTCCCTGGTCTGATCTTTGCCATGAACCCTCCCCATTGTCATCCTTGCTGTGAACCTGGCTTTCAGAACTACCCCTATAGCCTCTGCTAAGGAGCCTTGCCATATATTGTAAGAGTAGTTGGCCTCAAGGCAGACTTGTTAAAGTTTATTTGATGGAGCTTCTTAAGAAATAAATCTCCAATTATTGGAAATAAAATCCATCAGGTTACAGAATCTGCTAGAGGCAGAAATTAGCAATTTGACTGTTACTCACAGAGGTTTTGCATTCATTTCATTGAGCAATGGAAGTAAGGCAGCCCACTCTGCAAGATGCAAGGACAGAACTTAATTTCCACATGTCATCTCTTCTCCTTTTTGATTTTCACTGGTAAATTTACTCTTCCTATGTCCTTGAAGAATGGCTCAGGAAGTAGCAGTGTCATTACTTTATTTTCATTTAAAATGATCTTCAATTATTAAAGCTATGTTTATTCATTTGTAAAAACATTCAGAGGATATAGAAGTTTACAGAGTAAAATGTGTAAGTCCCCTTTTAGAAAAAAAAAACAGGATTCTGTGCTACACAATATTCCACAACTTGCTTTCCCCCTTGCTAATTTCTCATGAGTACATAGCTGTATGATATTCCACTACATGAATGTCCTAAGACTTTTTAGACAGTTGGCTATCAAAAGAAACTAGGGATTTAGCAGGTTTTAATCATTACAAATGATCAGTCCTAGGTGTTCATTGGAAGGACTGATGCTGAAGCTGAAACTCCAATACTTTGGCCACTTCATGCGAAGAGTTGACTCATTGGAAAAGACCCTGATGCTGGGAGGGATTGGGGGCAGGAGGAGAAGGGGATGACAGAGGATGAGATGGCTGGATGGCATCACTGACTCAATGGACATGAGTTTGAGTAAACTCCGGGAGTTGGTGATGGACAGGGAGGCCTGGGGTGCTGCGATTCATGGGGTCACAAAGAGTCGGACATGACTGAGCGACTGAACTGAACTGAACTGAGCTGAATCATTACAAATAATAAAGGTGAATATCTTTAGCCTTTTACAATTTTGTGTATTTGTGAAAATGTCTGAAACCAAATCATAGGACTTTAAGAAGACATGCACTGTACAACTCTTCATACTCCTATGACTTCGTGTCATCTCTGTTATCTGCGTGGCCCCCACAGGCATTTTATTTGTTATCCTGACTATAAGATAAATTCCTAAAAGTAGAATTACTCAGTCTGAAAAAACTACAAATATAAAATGCTATTGTTACACTGCGCTCCAAAATATTTATTTTGGAATAAAGTCCCTTTATGTTGTTGCCAGTTGAAAGGCATTATTGTGAGAAATCCAGGGCATGAACCCAGTATTGTTTGATTATGTTTATTTTATAGGCAGAGACAACAAGTCATTTCCATGCCATTTCTAGCTCAAATAAGGGGGCCAGTACACTGGAAGCCAAAGACTGCACGTAAATGGAAATATTTAACATGATCCTGATTTTTCTTTCTTAAGCAATCAAATGCAAACCAACCAAACAAGCATAATGCTATAGATCTCTGCACATACCTGAGCCAAGGGATGGTGCTGACTAGAGAAGCCGCGGTAGTGTCGGCAGGAGGGGCAACAGCGCTGGTGAGGGGTTCATGGTGATGGTTTTTACGGTTGTGGTTGTAGCTCAATTATTGTTGCACAATCATGTCTGGTCTGAAGCTTGATGCAGTCCTACTGGTTTTCCAGATGTGCTGTGATCTTTTAAAATCAGGAACTATAGACGTTTTTCTAATGGTTCACAGCGTTGTTTGGGGTTTTAACTATGCCCCCAGGAGAGAACTCAGTTTATTCTCTGGTTCTGCACCTGGATGGCAGAGGAGGTTTGGCACCTGCAAGTGCATTTGCTCACAACAAATAGGCTGTTTTGCGTCAGGTCTTTGCCTTTTGCCTGCAAAGATGGACTCATAGCTTCATTCTCTAGAGCTCTCTCTTGTGCTTTCTGCTTTGTTAAAAACTTGCTTTCTGCAGTTGTTTTTTTTTTTTAATCAGTCTGAAGCTTTCCTTTTAAGTAACTTGAATTAGAAATGAAAGCTGAAGATTTATTTAAAAAGAAAGAAAAACCTGGAGCTGGTTCGGCTCCTGTGGGTGCTAGTTCTAGGTCTTGCAGCTGGTTGGGTTGACAGAACCAGCATCTCCAGGAAATTAAGAGGAGATCTCAGTGTTATCCTGAGGTCTTGGAAGACCTCTCTTATTATATCAGGACTTGATGAAACTGAGCAAGTCACTTTACTTAATTGAGTCTCAATTTTCCCCCAAATCAGTCATCTTCAGCTAAAAGCCACCAGTGGCCAGGCAGGAAAAGTGAGGAGGGGACAGCTCTGTGTAGAAAGGTCAGTGGTAACCACTTAGGGCATATGAGGTTGCATCTTCTATTTTTTTTTTTTTTTTTCCCAAAGAGTCAGAATCTCCCAATTAAAGAAAAGAAAAGTATCCATCCTCCCTGTGTGATTCCATTGGGAATAGTGTCCAAAAGAGCTAAGAAAACAGGAGAGGCAAAGGCATGTGTGTCTGCTCATGCCCTGGAAGCCCCCTTCCAGGTGCTGTGATGGATGAAATGACTGCCTCACTGAACACAGATGAGGACAGACTAAGGCAGCACAGTGACAATGTGTGTGTAATCTCTTTAAGCTGGAAATAAACCATCCCATAAGAACTAGTCTTCAAGTTATGTCTCAGACAAGAGGGTGCTCATAGCTAAAACAGAGTCTTCCTTTTCACAGTCAGCTATGAGTATTTATGTTTTTATCCAGTCATGTACTGAGTTGTAACGTTCCAAGCTGTGTGCCCCATCAAAGCCGAACCACCCTTATTCCTTGTCAGCTGGATGGTCTAGTGGAGCTCAACCTCACAAATGTAAGCGCGCGAGATACTAGTTCACTATAGTCGCAGTGAAGGCTCTGAAGGAATGGTAGGGATTCCTGACCCAGACTGACTGAGAGGAAGGGACATCACCTGGAAAGATTTTGGGGCCACATATGGAACATAATTCATTTAACACCATGTCTGAATTTTACTCAGTCACACACCGTTGTTCAAGGACTGACTTGACCTGCTGGGAGAGTTTTGTTTGGACTGTGTGGTGCTGATCCACGTACCATTTAAAGCTTAAACTGCGTGCTGGGCTCAGTCGCTTCAGTTGTGTCAGACTCTTTGCAATCTATGGACTGTAACCCGCCAGGCTCCTCTGTCCATGGGATTCTCCAGGCAAGAATAGTGGAGTGGGTTGCAGTGCCCTCCTCCAGGGGATCTTCCCAACTCAGGAATCGAACCGACATCTTCAGCATGCTCCTGCCTTGCAGGCTGGTTCTTTACCCACTGAGCCACCTGGGAAGCCCAAAGTTTAAACTAGAGGCTTTAACCCTTTTTATTTCTTGTTTTCTTCCGTCTAACCCTCATGTACAACTTTGGGAAGTGGGTTGCGCTTCTTTTCAAATAATTCTGGCCTTATGAGAGAGATTTGAGAAGGCAGTAGAAAATGAGAGATTCAAGGTTTTACATGTGTTCTTGACTCTTTAGGAGCCAAACTTCAGGAAGGCTAGAGAGGGTTTCCTTTGGTGTCCTGGCTACAGGCTGTGCCTCTCATTCCAATTAATTACCACAACAGATGGTAAGAGAGTGTCTGTAGCCTGTCCTCACCACTGAGGGAGGGGGGCATGCCGAGGGTCTTTCAGTGATGTTTCTGTTCCCAAGAAGAGCACACTTCGTACTTCCTGTACAGATGAGGAAAATGGTTGCCGATTTGGTCCAGACCTGGATGATCTCTGTCCATATGTGCGTAGCAAACCCAGGCCTACAATGCTGCCAGTCTCCTGTTTCAAGTTATTCTCCTATGTTGCAAGCTGCACACCGAAAAACAACCACCACCAGTGCCATATGGTTTAAAAGATCAAAGACCCAGTTCTGAATATATTTCTAGCTGACTGTACTTCAAATGTCTTAAATATGTTTCTACAGATGGGGAGCTTGGAGCATTAAAGAGGTAAACCACATGTGTGTGAGCCATGCTTGTGGTCTGGGCAGGAGGGTGAAAAGTGAAAACCACTGATCTGTGCGTTCCTCTTCCTCTTAGGTTCGCATCTTCACGTACCTCATTGGACGAGAGGCTGCTTTTGCAGACAATCTCAAGTGGATGGCCTGTGCCAACAAAGGTAGGTCCCCTGATGAGTTCAGTTCTGAATAACTTCTCTGTGGATGTGCAGAAATGGAGATAGTCATGAGGAAGTGGAGAATTCTACCAGAAGGCTGTGAATTCTTAGATAAGGCCTGGATGTTTCTAAATGATTATGATCAATTTGGAACAGATTTCTCCAAAAATGTATGTAAAACGTTGAGGTTATAGTAAAGTGGAATGGTTAAGCCTTTCCACTCTATTCCTTAGTAGCTGAGTGATTTTGGGAGAATTACTATGGCAGAACCATTTACTGTGCACCAAATATCAATGTGCTCACCATTCCCAGCCACCTTGCATTAGTTCAGTAGACCAGTAGGCTTTAAACAAATCCAACCTGGGTCATTTATGAGCTAAAACACATATGGGCTGATGTGGTGGTGTCTACACTCTCTTCTGCTCTTGTGAACTATGAAGTAACATAACAGGATAGATGAGATAGCCTGGGTTCCTACGTGGCCACATGCAGCAGGATTCTTCTTTTCCACTCACCCTGTCCTCTGCCATCTGCCAACCCATGACAGATGCAAAGTCTGTTTGATGAGCCTTTGTATTAGGCCACTGAGATTTCCAGATTGCTATGTTCTCATAGCATAACTTAGCCTACATAACTAACTTAGTTACTTTTATTAGCCTGCTTCAGTGGTCTGATTTTCAAAGTGGAGAGGGTAATAATAGCTTTTCCTTTGATTCTTATTGAATATAAGGGCTAAAAATTGAAATGGTACAGATTAGGTGCCTAGTTAAGTGCTGGGACATAGGAAGTACTCAATAATGGTTGACTTTTCTACATTCACAGGTTAGTTGATGAATGATCCTCTGATGTATGTTGGAACAGAGCTTTGGGAAAGGCACAGGGTGGGAAGGAATAGGGCCTCCAATATATGAAGGACTTCTTTTCATTCTACACACAACCAAAGAAGGCAAAACATAGGAGGTAGATAGGTAGGGGAATCTAGATTCCTTGAGTATTAACCCAGACTCCTCGAGTTCAGATCCAGCTTCTACCAAACACTAATTATGGTAGTGGATGCTACCAGACCTACCGGAGTCTGAGTTATATCACCTAAAAACAGGGGTAATGATGATACCTGCCCCAGACACATGCTGTGAGCATGACATGAGGCCATGCAGGTAAAGCTGGTAGTTCAGTGCCTGGTACAAAAATGCCGCATATGATTTCCTGGTGATATATTGATCTTTGGTTATGTCTTATCTCTGCTGTGATGCTACACGGTTCCTGAGAGCAGCCTGTCAATCTGATTTCCACTTGAGCATTCTGACAGACCCCAATCTCCTGCTGTACATAGATTGGCTGCTTCTTTAAGGTTTGAAAAATGAGTAAATCAACTATCAATACTAATAAAGGAAGATGTGTCCATGGGGTCGCAAAGAGTCAGACACAAGTGAGTGACTGAACTGTACTGAACTGTGTCCTGCTGTACAGTAAATTGGTTTTGGTAGATACGGGTAGTGTCGTTGTACATTGCCTGCTAAGGCATCCTTTATAAAAGTTCCAGTGTATGTTAGTGGAAGAGAGGGGACTCAAGGAAGGGCTGGCAGTTCTCAGCTTTAATTTGGTGAACTTAAGACAAAGTTATTTTAGTTGCAAGCAAGCAAAGTTGCTCCCTGAAATTAAAGAGTGTTCTGGAGAGAGGAGAGTGAGTCAGAACCTAGAGCAGGAAGGAACTCTCATGTATCTCAAGATTGACAAGGGGGCTGTGCTTTTGTTTTTCTTTTTCTTCTTGGTTTATTTCTATATCCCATGGCATTTTTCTTGTCTATACATAGACTTTCTCTGCTAGGGCATGTGCCTATCAAAAATAGCTATCTCATGCCTGCTGCTAAGTCATGTCAGTCATGTCAGACTCTTAGCGACCCCATGGACTGTAGCCTACCAGGCTCCTCTGTCCATGGGATTTCCCAGGCAAGAGTACTGGAGTGGGTTGCCATTGCCTTCTCCCATCCCATGCCTAGCATACTCATTTGTTCATATAACACCTGTGTAAAAAAATGAGCTTATATCTTCTCCATTTGAGATTGATTCAGTTCAGTTCATTTGCTCAGTAGTGTCCGACTCTTTGTGACCCCATGGACTGCAGCTAGCCAGGCTTCCTTGTCCATTACCAATACCCAGAGCTTGCTCAAACTCATGTCCATTGAATTGCTGATGCCATCCCACCATCTCATCCTCTGTTGTCCCCTTCTCCTCCTGCCTTCAATCTTTCCAAGCATCAGGGTTTTTTTTTTTCAATGAGTCAGCTGTTTGCATCAGGTGGGCCAAAGTATTGGAGCTTCAGCTTCAGCATCAATCCTTCCAAAGAGTATTCAGGGTTGATTTCCTTTAAGATTTCCTTTATAGGTTTTTACTCATCCTTTAAATGGACATGTGCCCTCTCCCCAGGTAGAATCTGGCTGCCATGACTGCAGAATCAACATTCACATCTTTCTTGCCATTGTATTCCTGAGGCTTGGTTCTGTCCTTAAATAATGCCAAGCACCCCAGGCCCATTAGGAGGGTAAGAGGAGTGGAAGGTAAATACAGCCATGCTCTAGGAACTTCTGTCTTCTTGAGGAAGTTTGATAGACAACAGTTTCACTGTTGAGAAAGGAGGGTTGACAAANATCATCATTTAGGATTTGAAATAGCTCAACTGGAATTCCATCACCTCCACTAGCTTTGTTCGTAGTGATGCTTCCTAAGGCCCACTTGACTTTGGATTCCAGGATGTCTGTCTCTAGGTGAATGATCTTGGTTATCTGGGTCATGAAATATTTTTTGCATAGTTGTGCTATGTATTCTTGCCACCTCTTCTTAATATCCTAACTGATTAGCAACTCTAAGTTCTGATTTCAAGCCTCCTTCTTCCTCCCCCCTGCAAAATTATGACATCCAGATTGGGCAAGGTCTTCCCCAACCTGAACTGCATAGGCAAAGATAAGCCCGCAGAGAAAAATGCCAACAAATATGCTCTGCAGGACTCAGCACTGAGGGTAAATGGATATGGAAACTTCTCAGAATGTATGTGTATAGCCAAGCAAGTAAACCTCTGCCTCAGTTTTCTTTGCTTCACTTTGTCTTTAATTATCTGCTTCTACTTGAAGCAAGTCTCAACTTCCTCATCTAAAAAGTGGAACTCTGCTTGAAAGATTTGAACATTTCCTTGAATCTCTAGAATAACATGTTCAATTATTTTAGCTTATTGGCTGGTCCACCTCACTCAAAGTATCAGTAATTCTGATTGTCTCAGACTTGGCTTCTTTTGAGGGGGGGATATAAAAAAAAGTAGGCACAGGGAGATGAAGGCTGCATGGATCTTAGATTGCCTCTGAGTAAAGAGACCATTGAATAATTTTTGGAACTTTGTTAACATTTGAACGAGCTACACTTTCCCTAATTTTTCCTTGATTTTGTGGTCTTGAAAAAAGACTCCTTTCCATTTTTTTTTTAATTTTTAAAAGTTTTTCTGTTATTTCTGCCACATCAGACTGCAATTCTTCCCATCAGCGAGTGTGCATTTAGTCATGGGATATTGTTTTTACCACTGTCTGTGTCCAGCTGATGAAAATTACTGAAGTTGAAGTCTTGTCTTAATCAACTAATATTACACCATAATTTAGTTTTAGTCATTGTTTATAAGAATCCTTGAAGCATCCTTTTGAAGACATTTTAGTCAGCTCAGAGTATTTCAGGGCCTGGCCATAGAATATGGATTTGTAAGTTCTGAGTGCGGCACTTGGAAAATTCAAGGAGGTAATAGTAGCTGCTTAGCTGGCCCAGCCGCTTGATTCTGCTGTGATTCTCCTTCTCTTCCTGTCCAAATCCAGTTTTTTCCTTCCCTGCCAGAGTCAGTCCTTCACAATAATTCCACCTCCCTACTCTGCTTCTCTTCTAAAGGTCTTTGAGAAGAAAATGCCATTGTTTGCCACTCTTCAAAGTAGCAGTTGCCATCAAAATGTCAGGTTCCAGTCATCTGTGCCCATATAAACATCGGCTTTGTGTTGCGTCAGTTATGAGGTTTAGCCCACGTAACGTCGGTGAGCAAGTATTCTTCTATGGTCATTAATTAAATCATTGTTTATACTCTCAGATTGTTATAGTATGGAGGCAGCATAACATTTTTCATCTCGAGTGACATGAGGTCCAGGGAGGCTTCTTCCCCACCCACCACATATTTTTGCCCTGACTCAGCCAAGTTCTTCAGTGAAGTGAAACATTAGCATTTGGGGACCAGAGCGGATCCAGGGAAGCCCAGAGAGAAGCCTGTTGACTGACTGACCAGAGTGACCCTGCGGAGGAGCAGAAGTCATCACTGCCAGCACATTGTCCCCGGGTCAGTGGTCAAGGACCTGCTATTGGCGCAAAACTTCTTGTTTGGAAGCCTGGTAGCCACGAGACAGTTCTCAAGTCAGCGGACCTCTGGAAATAAGTATCTGAGCATATTCATAGCCCTTATAGGAGTTCTCTGCCTCCTCCATCCCACTAGCAAAATCCAGAGAGGCCTGGAGCTCATCGGTTTGTCTCATTTTATGCATAAGTAGGTCCTATCTTGAGGGAACCAGCCCTAATGAGGCAAAGCAGCAAACCATTTTAAATACATTAAAACAATCATTGCCACTGTAGAATGGCTTATTGGAATTTAAAATTCTACGTTCACACTGTTGGATAAACAAGTGAACTGAGAAAACTGAAAAAAGGGGCCAACTAGCCCAGATACTCCATGAAGCCTCGATGACCTTCTGTAATGTTCACTGTGCCAAGATTTTAAATAAGCACTGCCTGATTCTCCTTCAAAGCTCATGGTAAATGGAGTGTTTTCCAGCTGTGCAAATAAAGAGGGGTCTCTGTGTTTGGTTCTCAACCTATCCGTCATCATTAGGTCAAATAGAAACGCCACATGAGTCTCTCTTGGTTGTCTGCTTAACCTGTCCCTTTTTAATAAGCTCATGGTCATTCTCTCCTTGTTTGAAAGAGAGCTG